CCCGACCCTGCGCCCGCCAGACTGTGCCCTTCCCAGCCTCAAGTCGTGTATTTATTTTGGGTCCTTCCCTTTGCACAGAGACAGAAGCACGTGTGTGCTTTTTTTAGGAAAAGACACAAAAAAGACAAAAACCAGAAGAGGACGCTCCTCCCCCACACTGCGGTTCTTGCTTGCGTGAGTCTCGCGGGGACACGGCCCCGGCTCCTGCTGCCTCCGGGGGCCCGGCCACATGGCCGTCGTCAGGCTGAATCCCGCTGAGTCTCCACCTGCTCTCCACTCGGGACGGCGGATCCCCTGGGGCGCGGAGGCCACTGCCCTAGCAGACCCCCGCCAGCTCAGCTTGGCGCCTGCTCCCACCACCCCGGCGCCCCCTCGTCAGGAGGGACGGACCAACCCGGCCAGGGCAAGGTCTCCAGGCACCTGCAATCCAGAGCGTCGGGACTGTCCTCCTCCCGACGCAGCCGTGGGCCACCCGACGCCCAGCCCAGGGTCGAGACTCACAGGGCGGGCCCGGGAGGAGGAGCCCAGGTTTCCAAGAGCTTTGGACGACCTTGTGATGGCCTGTGTCCCACCCAAGGCCCGGCCTGGCGGGCAGACCCTTCCTGCAGGACGGGCAGCCACGTGGGGTCTAGGAGGACAAAGACAGCGGCCCCGGCGCAGGGCAGCCCAGCGCCCCACAGGGCGGCCACTGGGCCTGCCCTGTGCAGAGGGTGTGGCCAGAGCCCACAGGCCGCAGAGCCCCCCTGCACTCACCCAGGCACGTCTCTGCAGACCCCCACCCGCACGGCCTGCGGGGAGGAGCTGGTCCTGCGAGACCGCACCTTCTAGAACTCCTGAGCCCTTGCCTTCCGCAGAGAGCCCGGGGCCTCCCTGGCCACGGCCTGTGAGCCTGTCGTGAACCCCTTGAGCCTGTGTCCTCCTGCTGCTGGTCCAGCCTCACAGCCCACTCCCTATGCCTGGAGGAGCAGGCCACACCCCCCGGCCCCACCAGGGACACACGCTGCTGTGCCAGGAAGGAAAGGGTCTCAACAGGGACTAGAACGGCGTGACAGCACCGTGGCGGCCCGCCTGCCAGCTCCTCCAGCCCAGGGACCTAGCCTCGGCCCTGCCCGGCCCACGAAGGACACCCGTGGGCACTGGGGGGGATCAGCAGGGGTCCAAAGGGCCGTCTGAGGCTGGACGGCCCACGGGGACGGCAGCGTCATCTGAAGGCCCCAGAGGGCACACGGAGGTTCCTAAAGCCCTCACGTCCCCTTGCCCAGCCTGGCCCCAGGATGTCCAGAGCCCTGGGGGGGACCCAGGCTGTCCCTGGGTGACGGGCACCGTGTCCATCCCCCCCCAACAAATCACATGACCTGCGTGCTGACCCGGCACGCTTGAGGGAGAACACGCAGCCTCCGTGGACACGTGACGTTTCTGTGTTTGTGTCGCGTCTCCCAGGCCTCTTGGAGATCCGCTTCGCGTTGCGTTTTCTGTTCCTTTTCCACGAACTGTAGCCCATGCTGACGTGTTCCACGACCGCCAAGGTGGCGCCTGCTGGTCATTTCCAGGGCCCGGTGGGGGCAAGACCTATTTATAATGTGTAGCGAACTCACGGCCCTCCTCGGACCCCAGCTGCCCCCCCAGAGCAGTTTGTAAAAATGCTGGGACCAATCCCCCCCACCTCGGTGCTGACGCCCCTGTCGCTCAGATGGGAGCCGCGTCTGACTCCGTGCTGTGCAAAGACAGAGGGCGTCCTCTCCGAGACTGACAAGGGGCAGCCCCCACGTGTCCCTTGCCAGCCTCCGTCCCCAAAGCCATCCCAGCGTGTCCCCTGTGCCCCCCCCCACCTGGCTCAGTGCAATACTCCCGCCCCCGCAGGGTCCCATGCCAGGGTACTGTCGCCGCAGCCCCTCGGTCCCCGCCCAGGACAGCCACTGCCCCCCTCCCCGTTTATGGCCGAACTGGTTCCAAGACAAAATGAAACTGCAAACCTCGTGTGTCTTAACTCCCAGTGGGAATCCCGCCCCTCCTCCGCCCCGTGGTCCGGCGCGTGACAATCGGAGCACCCGCCTCATGGCTCGGACGGGGGGCCGTGTCCCCCACGCAGCACCCTGGGCCCCTCCGAAGCAGAAAAGCCACTGCTGGCCCAGACACTTGTATGCAGCCTGGGCCCCGCCCGTCCCACCCCCTCTTTCTACGTCAAGGAGAGCTCTCTAATAAATCGGGTAATAAGCATCCACCCACCCGTGGCCTCTCTGTGGGCTCTGAGGGTCGGGTTGGGAGCTGGAGGACCTTGGACCTCAGAGAGGAAAGAGGCCTCTGTGAGATCTGTGATAGTATCGGGGGCGATGATGGCTCAGGCCTGGAATCCCAGCACCTGGGGAGGCGGAGGCAGGAGGGTCACTTGAGGCCAGGAGTGAGAAACCAGCCCGGGCCACGTAGCGAGACTCCCTCTGCAAAAATAAAATACACGCATACGTAATAGTACGAGGACCCAAACACCTAACCGCTGTGACCTCCTCCGGGTTCCAGATCAGCTCAGGAAACACGTCAAAGCTTCTGACAGCACAGCCCAGCACAAGGGAACAGACCCCGCACCCCAAGTTTGTATTTGTACTACCAGAGCTGCTTGGACCCCTCGAAGGGAACACATCCCTCCCTGACCCCCAATCTGAGAAACCACATTGGAAGTGAGATCTGGCGGAGAGGCGGCCTCTGGAAACAACAGTACGTAGCACGGCTGACGTGCAGACCAAACGTGTAGGGGGTCTCGGAGGTCCCCGTCAGATCCTCCCAAGGATGTGCCTGAATTAGGGGGTGAGAGAGAGAGTGAGAGAGAGAGAGAGACATCCCATCACCATGACAACCCGCATCCCAGGACCGAGCCGCAGGAGCTGGTCCTTGGAAGACTCCACCCCTGCCCTCACACCTAGCAGAGCATGCAAAGCCAGCATTCCGGGGGCGGGGGGCTGTCACACAGCTGTCCTCCAGGCTAGACCTTCCAAAAGGTGACATCAGTGATGAGTATCTTCCCAACACAGGCATTCCCATCCCGGTGTGGTTAGAACTGTGGGTGGCTGCAGTAGCTTGGGCCGGGATGGCAGGATGCTCCAGACTCCAGCTTCCAGTCCTGTCTCCTTCGGTCCACCCACCCCACAATTGCAAGGCCCCCCACCTCTGCTCAAAGCCCTCCCAACAGGCTGGGCGCCGTGGCCACGCCTGTAACGCCAGCACTTCGCGAGGCTGAGGCAGGAGGATTGCTTGAGCCCCGGAATTCGAAACCAGCCTGGACAGCAATAGCTAAACCCTGCCTCTACAAAAAAAATTTTTTTAAATGAGCCGGGTGTGGTGGTGCATGGCTGTAGTCCCAGCTACTTGGGAAGCTGAGCAGGAAGGAAAACTTGAGCCCAGGAGTTCGAGGCTGCAGTGAACTATGATGGCACCGCACTCCAGGCTGGGCCACAGAGCCAGACTCTGTTTCAAAAATAAAACAAAAATCCTCCCATGCACCCACACAACAAAGCTGGACAGCCTGAGTTGGGTAATTTTTTGCAGGAAAAAGCTTTAAAAACACACATAAATCAACCCAAAAAGTAAAACACAACAAACAGAAGCAACAACAAAACATTAAAAAATAAATTTTGACTCTGAGCCTGTTTCTCCATGAATAAAATGGATTTTAGGGGAATCCAGGGAGTTATCCCACGTTTAAAAAAAAAAAAAAAAAACCGGGCTCGGTGGCTCAGCCTGTAATCCCGCGCCTTTGGAGGCTGAGTGAGTGGATGGCCTGAGCCCGCGGTTCGAGACTCGCCTGGGCA